TAAAATGAATTGTGTTGTTTTTCCTGCATTGTTTGTGCTGCAAACCCTGTCAATGGTTCGGCTTCGTAGTCAAATGAAATAATACAAACCACCATATGGAAGCCATGGAAAATTGTGATTATGTTCATGTGGCTATTTAACATTGATTCATAAATAAATAAATAAATATAATACACTTCAATAAAGTATACCAATAAGGAAAAACATTATTTTCTCCTATTTTATTTAACCTGTTAGTGCCGGCAGGTGGGTATTTAAATACCCACTTGGTGTCACCAACAGGTTTGACAGTGAAGGAAAACTCAAAAATCACAAATACATTGAATTGTGAAAGTAATGCATATTTTCCACACAAGCAAAGTCATGTGACTAGAGAATCCAAGAACCTCAGGGGTTATTGTGACATAGTGGTGGGCTTAACACAATATGGCCATACGCTATAATTAAATATTTGTTTGCTAAGAAAGGTGATTTTAAGTAGCCTTGTAAAATGGCAAACTGTATTATTTTGTATGTGCACTGTTCCCTAATCTGTATTTTGTATATATTTTGATCTTAATGACAGCACCATTACTTAGAAATGCATGTTACAGGTCTGCCCTCCAGTTCCAGATTTTTCTGTGTAGATTTGGAATTCAGAACAGATTCCTATTGGGCAGGGAAGGGCACCCCACCCATCCACTGTAGGTGCTCCTTTGGAGGCGACCACAGGAAAGCTTAAATTGAGGACAGCCTTTGTAAGCAGTTTAAGCAGTAAGTATTGCAGTTAGCATGTTTATCTCCCATGTTAAAATTAGTGTGGTAACCACCAATATTGGGGTAGTGTGACGTAGTGGTGGGCATAACACAATATGGCCATATGGTGTAACTGAATCCCCATATTTGTTTGCTAAGGTAGGTGATTTTAAGTAGCTTTGTACAATATAAAGCTGTCTTTTTTGTGGGTGTGCGCTGTTCATTATTCTGTATTTTTTATATATTTTGGTGTTTACGGCAGCACCACTACTTTCATGTTCCAGGTGCAGCCCCAATTCCCCCTTTGTAAAAAAACTAAATATATCAGGAAAATGTCAAAAAGTTAGCAAAAAAAAGTAAAATTCATATATTCAATTTTTCATTGCAATGTTTATTTTACATATCTAACAAGCAAATAATAATAATAAAAAAAATATTTCAAGATTGCAACATGTGTATAACACAAACCTTTTGGTAAATAATATATTGTATGACATGATGTTGGAGGGATCTCCCCAAGTGGGAGGCGCTATTGTGGCTCTGCCCCTGGCTTTCCATTTTCTGGAAGTTGTGCACAGGGCATAGGAGCAGTGCATTTAGAATGTCTGTGGAAGAGGGGCCCACTTATTGCTACATAGGTGAGTTAGAGGAAGCAGTTACCACAGGGGTCAAGTCCTGAGGAAAAAAGTGTGAGACTCACCCAATGCCCCCCCAGCCCCCCAAAAAAATAATAATAATAATTATCTTTAAAGGAATGCTCCAAGCACCATAACCACTACAGCTCACTGCACTGGCGATACCCATGTTGTAAGAGAATTTAGGGATTAACTCATTGAATGATTGCCACCAGC